GAGAGAGAGAGAGAGAGAGACTTTATATTGAATAAGGCCACAAATTTTATGGAGCTAGCGGATAATTTTCTTATGGAGTCGTTCATCACTTAATTTATTGACACATGTTCAAAGTGTATTGATTATATGACACGTGTCAATACACTATTTGTGGATGACTCCAGAAGTCGAGTCATCCGATGACTCCATAACAAAACTGTGAATAAGGCATACAAAAAGTTTAGGTGGTGTATGTTCAGTTTTCCAAATTTACTATGAAGTCAGCGAATGACTTGGTTTATGGAGCAATTCCCATTTATTCATAAATAATATATTGACACGTGTCATACAATAAATACACTTTGGACATGTGTCAATACATTAAGTGATTGATGGCTCCATAAGAAAACTATCCGATAACTCTATAGAGTTTTTGTTCAATTGGGATTTTAAATGACATTTTATTTTTTTTAAACGGTTTTGCTATGGAGTCATCAGATGACTCGACTTATGAAACCATTCATAGTTACTCACAAATGATGTATTGACACGTTGCAACAAATGCACACTGTACATGTGTCAGTACATAAAGTTGTGGTGGACTCTTTAAAGGATTATCCGATGGCTCCACAGAATTTCTGTTTGTTTAAGATTTGAGACTTTTCAAGATTTTTAAAATTTGGAGGAATTTTATGAAATATTAAGCATGGAGATGTGATTTGAAGTAGGATTTTCGTATAAAGTTTTTTTTTTTTTGTTTAAAAATTTCACTAAATCTTAAATAAGTTAAGTAGTTGATGATTTTATAGTATTTTTTTAAAAATCTCAATTGTATACTCCAATACTTTTGAAATTCTTAAAAAATCTTAACAAATCTAAATTGAATACACAGTATTTCTAAAATTTTAAACATTTTTTTTGAAATTGAATACTAGTACTAGGCACTTTTGATTAAATTAATTAATTACTTTCCTTTTTCCTAAAAAACAAATAAACAAATTTAAGTGCAATTTCTTTTTGTGGGAAAGAACCATAGTTCCTCAAGTCTCACCTTTTTGATTTGTTCCTTTCCTTGAAGTCATAAAACAAGGATTCAATCAATGCACTAACTCCATTTTTCATATGCCTATTATTAAAATCACCACAATAATTCCCAAAAATTGAGAAAAATAGAAAGATAAAAAAATAATAAAAAAAGATCAACTACACAAGATTTTGTAATAATATTCTAAGCACTCTGTATATAGCTGTATGCATATTCTTTATTTTATTTTATTTTATTTATTTTTTTGGCTGAGAAAAATAGTAATATGAACAGTACTTGAGTTTTAGTTCATAGGATCCTTTATTTTGTTTCCATTTTTGTTTGTTTTTCTGTTCTGTCTTCTTTCTTGGGTTGGTTCATCATCCAATTAACCTTCATGTGTTCACACGTGCCAAATGACAACCCAAAGATCTCCCACGTGCCAAACCCATCTCTTTGCTTGCTCTGAACAGCACGGCACAGCGCCACTTTACTCTTTTCTTTTTAGTGGGCTCCAAAAAA